CACGCTGATAAAACTACTGTAAATGAGGAATCACAGACTGTGGCAGATATGCCGATTGATCCAAATGAGCCGCTCTATTGTTATTGCAAACAAGTTAGTTATGGAGAAATGGTTGCATGTGATAATAGTGAATGTGAGATTGAGTGGTTTCATTTTACATGCGTCGGTCTCTCAGATCGTCCTAAAGGAAAGTGGTATTGTAATGAGTGCTCGGATAAGGTGAAACATCGACATCACAGGAAATAATTATTAATTTATGGTGAAAATAGCATAGAATTTAATTCAATAAATGTGAGTGCCCAGTGTGAGGCAATCACGTGATTTAATCGCAAGCAAAAAAAAGGGTTATGTTTCGTTCGCATGATTACATCGCTTGTAAATAAAAATAGTTATAATAATAATAATAGTAATTTGTTCTTTTATTGTATAAAAGTTTGTTCTTTTATTGCATTGTTCACAAATAAAAAATGCTTTTTATTGAATAAACTAAAATACTAAAATGGTCTTTGAATCGACCAAAATCTGCGATATTGTGTAAACTATTTTCATATCACGTTTTGTACCTATAACATTTTCACGACAACGATCATACGTACGAATACAAAAATTGTTAGTGAAATCGTGAAACATAGGCGTCAGTTACTAGTTATCCTATAGATCATTTTAGAAGTCCTTCGTTAATTTACAGCATATTAAAGATTTTAATGACTTTCTACCATTATATTTTTCGAAGTTACTCTGGATCGTCTCAATCAAGAACAAAAAAGCTGATGTTGTTAGATCAGCACAATCCGTACAGTTAGTTGTATGCGATAATAAAATGGCATTTTAAATAGTTCAGAAAAAAAACTCTTCCTGCTGATCGTCAATTACATACTAGCCTTTGGTCGCTAATTGATATTCAAATTACAGTCAGATCTCGTTATAGTCACTGATATATTTACACTATTTTTTAACTCGAACCAATATAAGCATATAAAATTTAATTTTTATATACAGTCTACTCTTTCTATACCGAACCCTCGGTTCTGGCCAAAAAAAAAAAGTTCGTTATATAGAATTACTATGTTTTCTTAATAGCCATAGCTCTTGTTATACCGAACTAATATTAA